ATATTATGTTTACAATTCTGTACGCCCAAAGAGCTGTAAACGACCAAGGGCAGTGGCGCAGAAGATCTAATTTTGAATTGTATCAGCTCTTTGATGAGCCAGATGTCATAACGTTCATTAAAACACAGCGACTTAGATGGGCTGGACACATAATAATAATGCCAGAAAATACCATTGCTAAAAAGCTAACCACAGGAACACCTGTAGGAAAAAGATGTAAAGGCCGACCGCGAATTAGGTGGTTAGATGGAGTAGAAACCGACTTACGAATATTAAAAATCAGAAGATGGCAACATGTTGCCAAAAACCAAACAGAATGGCGACGAATCTTAGAGCAGCCAAGATCCACAGAGGATTGTCGAGCCAAAGATGATGATGAAGAGTGCCTCTGAGAAATCTCTTCGCTTGTACAGAGTACAATGTTCTTAAGTTCTATGATCTATGATAGTGTCGATAATCATCGTATTAAAAACAAAATTTTATATCGAAATTAAATTTTTTAGAATGTCTCTTAGAGCTAAAATAAAGTTGTACTTAAAGTAAAGATTCATATTTTATTAACACCGATTTTACGAAAAATTTTATTATCCTGTAAAACCCTAAAAGAACAAGTGTTCAAAATTTCAGAAAAATGGAACGTTTTCGGGTTCATAACTTTGTTCACCTGGCTCGGAATTGCTCAAAAATATTTTTGCTAAACACTTGCGTCGTGCTACTTACATGACATATTTTTTTAAATAAAAATCTCCTCTTGTACTTGATTTAAAACAGCTAGAAACATCTATGGATTTTAAATAAAAATATTTTTTTAATTTCAAGTCCTATTTTTGAAAAATTCATAGATAAGCTCACGTGTTTTTAATCTTTTTATAAACTTTTTGGAGTAGACTCCACCTTAGAATTTGAAAAAATATTTTTATTGCATTCAAACATTTTACTAATTTCATCTTACATTGTAATAACTCAGTATTTTTGCCTTTTGTACTGTATTGTAGTTTTTTGGTAACGTGTTTGAGCTTAATGATGCGTGACAGTTTTTATTTGTTCTTTTTACTAAATATAATGATAAGAAAAGGTGTAGTTTGCTATTTAAAAAGTTATTTGGCATGTTTTTTTGTTTTGTTTTTCAGCTTTTTTGTCTTGAAACTAACTATTTATCTATTATTTTATTTATCTTTATATTTATGTTTATATATTGGATTTGAAATTTCCGCGGGAGCTATATGTGATTTCAGTTGTTTTTCGGATGTGACTATGCGTTAAATAGTTTGGTGTTTTGAAAAACCATTGTTTTGGCGACGTTTCGGTAAGGTCACACTTGCCATTGTCAGTCAGATTAGTTCTGCTTCTTCTTGATGTTCTTGAGTTCTCATAGAACATCAAGAAGAAGCAGAACTAATCTGACTTGAACAAGTGTGTTTTGCTCTTTGCACTTGCTTTCGGCAAGTGTGACCTTGCCGAAACGTCGCCAAAACAATGGTTTTTCAAAAAACCAAAACTATTTAACATGGAGTCAAACCGGGAAAACAACTGGTCGATAATTCCATTATGGTACAGATATAAAAAAGGATATTTATAAAAATGTAGGCATGATATTCTCCAGGCTTGGACCCTTTTTAAAAGATCTAGTTACCTTGAGATTGAACCTTCCATGTAGCTCTTTGGCGGTGGCTTTTTTTAGCCTAATGCAAAGAACCGCAACATTTACCAGGCTACACTGACACATAAAACGCTCTGCTGTTTTTTCCTCTACGTGATAGAATCTGCCTAGATCATCGTCTGCCGATCCCATCAGCTGCAACTGACCATTCAGCTGCAACTGACTATTCAGCTTGCAGTTCCCTGTTACTAGACCTGCTATGGCTTTGACTGTTTTCCTGTCTTTACTTATTAGGTCTGCTGTAAATTTTGGCGAATTTTCAATAGTGAACTGCTTCACCTGTCTTTGGCCTGATGAATTCCTCCACCATTTTAGAGATATTTGAGCTACCCACTTTCCTTGTAGTCATTCTGCCTTTTCAATGGAGCAGAAGTGTTCCGGTCCAATGAATTAAATTATTGAACCTTGTTTGGCCATTCCATTGGCGTTTTCATTGCCCATATGACCCTCATGCATCGGCACCCACTCAATCCTATACTAGCTTAGAACTAACAGTAGTGAATTGCCGTTATTTCCGCCTGGAAAATTGTAACATCCTTAGATAGACTTACAAGGAACTGTATCCTTTACTTTATCCCTACTATACCGGCTTCTACACCCTCCGATATACCAGGTAGCTTTCGCATATATGAGTACACCTTTCTTCTAGTCTTCTCTGCCTGGTATATTAATTTTAAATTTATCGTCAAAGCTGTATCTTGTAGTTGTTGCATTCAAGAACTGTCCCATTATGATATCTGCTTTTAGCTTCTCGATTATCAGAACGATGCGTCTAGCTTATGTGTTGTTGACTATTTATTAATCTGTGCATCACTGATCTAGTTTCGCCCTATATAAAGATATGAAGTGGTAGCTTCAACAGGACTTTCAACGTCGCTGTGGGAGTTGTTTTTATGGCTTCCGTAATATACAGGGATGCTAGCCTTTTTGAGTTACTTCGAAGCCTTAATGCTCTCACTTGCTGAGTTTTGGTCCACTACTTCACAGGCCTATAGGTTATTGGTCTAATAACCCTTGTGTACAACCATAGGGTCAAGAACATAGTAGCTTTCTGTGTGATTTTCAGTATGTGAGTATTACATGTAAGATTATGATTCAAATATGCCCCTAGGTATTTTACTTCTTTGACAAAACGAATCTCTGTTCCTCCCAGTACCAACGGTTTTAGGCATTGTAAAGCTGTCTTTTTTGTAAAGTTAGAGACAAACAGATACAACATGGGCGAACTTGCCCCTGACGGCGATTACAATATTGTAAGCGTAACCTAGAAAGTAAAAGCCTTTATGTACAAATTTTTCAGAAGATCATCTACCAAAGTTGCTCAAAGTAGAGGTAACAGAACTCCTTCTTGTGGACAGCCTCTACCTGCTTTTGCTTTGGTGGTTATTTTACCCAGAGTGGATATTATTATCCTATTTTCCAGGGATGCCCCCATCCATCTGCGTATTACCGCAGGGGTGTCCCGTTTACTCATTGCGTTTATGAAATAGTTGGTGATCTTCTTGTTCTCTGTTCAATTATCGTACGTTAGCTATCTAACTGGCTACACTAATTTTGTCAAATTATTCTCTCAAGTCTTTTATCCATTGTTTTAAGTTGGTTGTAACATTATTAAATGCTCCTTTAATATCTAAAAAGTGGCCATTGCTATCTCTTGGTCCTTTATTGTCTTTGACATAAGCATATTTAGATCATCCAATGCTAAGTCCGTAGATTTACCAGGTTGATATATGATATCCGTTATTGCTTATGAGTATGGAAAAGAGTATGGTCTAAAAATAAATGTCAAGAAGACGAAATTTATGAGAATATCGAAAACTCAAATAAATAACGAGAATCTTTTAATAAACGGAATCAAAGTTGAACAAGTGGACAAATGCGCATATCTGGAAACAATGATTAACTCCACAAATGATTACATTCAGGAAATCAAAATCAGAATAGAAAAGGCTAGAGCAAATTTCAACAAAATGAGAAGAGTGCTATGTACCAGGGATTTAAAACTGGAACGGGCGATTTAAAACTGGAAAGAGTTAGGTTGGCGAGGTGCTTTGTTTTTTCGACTTTATTTTATGGAATGGAACCTTGGACCTTGAATGCAACATCAATGAAAAAACTGGAATTATTCGAGTTGTGGGTATATAGAAAAATTCTGAAACTATCGTGGACAGAACAAGTCACAAACAAAGAGGTTCTGAGAAGGATGAATAAAGAAATGGAAATTTTAAATACAATTAAAACAAGAAAATTAGAATATCTCGGACATATTACACGTGAAGAGAAATACACCTTGCTCCAACTGATTATGCAGGGAAAGATCCAAGAAAAGAGAAGCATAGGGAGGCGTAGAATGTCATAGCTGCGCAACCTGAGAGAGTAGTACAAAAGAGAGGAGTCAAAAGTCCGAATAGCTATGATGATTGCCGACCTCCGCCGCGGAGATGGCACTTGAAGAAGAAGAAGTTGCTTATCTGTTGTTGTTATCTATTCATATTCTCCAATTATTTCGCTTATGCCTGTTTCTAACTTTTCTGTTAAGATTTTTACATATAGTCTGCCCGTAGATGATATTATACTGAGTCCTGGATAGTTCTCGAATTTGTCTCTAGTTCCAATCTTATATAGAGATTTAATATACGCTTGTGCTGATTTGGTCGATAAATTTTCTTGATTTAATAACTTTTTAATTTGTCCCTGTCTTACTTTTATTTAGTTTTCCGTATGGGTTTCTTGTTGCGCTATTGCTTTTGCCATAAATTGCGGACGATTTCCAGTTAGTAGTTGTTTGTAGCATTCCTTTCATTATTGGTCGTTGATTTGGCCAACCACCATTCCCTCTGTCTTATTTTTAAAATGGTTTCAGGTTCTTGTGTTTGTTCTATCTTTGCACATAATTCATCATGTCTTACTTCTGTTTTATTCCTGTCAAAAAAAACCTTACGAGAGTAGACTAAAAAATGAAGATGTAACTTTTAAAATGTGGACGTTTCTTGCTATAGTTTAAACTGTTAACTTTATACAATCCAAAATACCAGAAACGTGACAAACGGTACAAATTAAATCATTGTTTTAAAAAGGCGACCATAATAATTATTGCGAAAACTATAGAAAAATATTCTCTAAAATTATTAAAAATAGCTTAGAAAATATTACATAATCCATTATGGGAAAAGAATAACATAGTTCATTTAAGTTAGTTAAATGTTTAAACATTAATTTAGTTAAAATGTTAAACGACATTTAAAGTCAGAAAATTTTCAGAGAATAACGCGCTTTCGTGAGTTTATTAATAAAGTCTAATATATTGATACATTTGATTTACTTTGTTTTTGTATTGTAGATCATGCAGATCATACCGATTTTTAATGTATCCACTGGCCGATACTGAAGAAACGAAAAGAAGAAGGTTTGAACAGTGGAAAAATATTTTCTGGAAAATAAAATAATTATAAATTAGGCATTTTTAAAACCGCAGGGTGTGATTGTGCTGCTTGAAGAACACGCATTTTTAATATTTTCTTACCCTCTTCGAGAGGGACTGAAACCGTTCTTTGGTACATTTTTTAATACTTCGACGTAATGTTCTCATGTCAGGATTGTTTTTTCAAGTTTTCGGTTTCGATAAGTAAACATGATGTATATAAAAGTTAATATTGTAAGGTGTATGATCACAATAATGTATATTGTTTAAATATGTATATAAATCTAGGCATCTGAAATGAATTCTTCTATTGCATTGTTATTAAAAAAGAGCTCATGTTAAAAAATGAACACTGTATGTATTTTTAAATAAATGTTTTAACTAAATGTCTTCCTTATTTGTTTATTAAATATATTTTTACTAGCAATAGAACCCGTTTCTGAACAAGATGAATAGGTGAAACGACAGAAAACAGAAATGAACAGTACCTAACAGCAATGAACACCAAAAGAACAAACGAGGAAGTCGCCCAATCACTTTAAAATTTAAAGAAAGGTTGAGCAATTGAGGCGTTCTTTGCAAACACCAAATTTGTCATTATTTACAACAAGAAGGTATCTAAAAAAAGGTATGTAATTAAACCGTATTAAGTTTACGGAAATTCTCAAAAACAGTGATTTTTTTTATTTAAACAAAAATATCCCTGTATCAACTACTAACTTCAGAATGTTAAGAATGCAAAAACTGTTAGAAATTTGTTCTCTAAAACTAAAACACCCTTGTCCACTTTGGAACAAGTGAACACAATTTATAAAATTCCATGCGCTAATTGCGATTTATGTTACATTGGTCAATCTGGTAGATCATTAAAAGGTCGTCTCACTTCACATCGTAGCGACATTAATTTATCGAAACACACTTGTGCCCTAGCACAACATGCGATAAATACAAAACATGAAGTGGATTTTAATGAAGTTAAGATCCTTGCCACTGAACGCAATCTAGCTAAAAGACAGTTTTTGGAAATGTGTTCAATATTAAAACACCCTAATGCATTGAATAAGAGAACTGACATAAGTAACTTGAGCCAAATATATCATGCTTTAATTTTGCAGAATTAGGCTACTTAATCTTTTCACTACATTAATGTCATATTTGGTGTACTAGTTGAACTTTTTTCCATTTTTCATAAAACAATTTTTATACATAAATAGAAATTTTTTTTTTTTTTTTTTTTATTAACATTTAAGATTTTTTACAATCTGTTTTGCAGTGAAAACAATAAGTAAAACTTTTTGTCTTTACATGACAGAGAGATGTAAGGTCCAGTGACCAAATCATCACGACACAAGTTGGCTTTTTTACCGGTAGGATGCGCACATACACTGATACGCGAGCACTAAAAGCGGCACTGATCACAATGTCTGGGTGCTGTTGAGGGCCTAACTCCCACTACTGTAGGCTCTGTCAGGATCGGTGAGGTATGTCCAAGGGGTCATGTCGCTTCAATCTCTTCGCTTGTTGGTTGTTGAGAAGGTTGTGTGCCAGGGTATTAGGATGCACCCGCAACCTGTTTTGATATTGTTCAGAAGATTTTTTGCACTCTTCAGAGACTGTTAGTACCTGGAGAATTTATTTATTTTATTTCTACATAAATAGAAATAAAATAAATAAATATATCAATAAAATAACTTAATATCTTTACTTAATTTTACTATTACATATGCAACCCACATTGCATTTCAATACACTAATTACTTTAATTAGTGTTTCAAATTTTATATTAAAATAATACAAATATTGTAATTGATTCATAGAATCCTTTACAAATCACAGCTCCAAGTATATTGAACCTTGGGCTGTTTGGAAATTATAAAATCGTTAACCACCTGGCTGTTTAACTAGCCATAATGTTTAACGTCATTACATACTTATGAGGTTGAATGAAAATCTCCTGTTTATAAATTTGGGCAGTGAGGGGAGTTGTGTTTACACTACCAACTTTTTTCACTGTGTTGTCCTTTGCAACCGGGTAGTCATCCAAACTCAGTTAAACTTAAATTAACCGCCCAAAATTTGGGTTGGTATTTACACCTTGTTGATCTGTCAAAAGTATTTTTGACCTCAAGGTTGGCTGTCTTTTTGCAGTTTAGTTCGTTCCTGTTTCATTAAACGCCATTTTCCCGGCGACATTCATAGGGCTTTGATCGGTAACTTCATATTTACTATTTTTTAAAATTTTATTAATATCACTTATAATGCTACCTAAAGTTAAAATCAAAGCTTAATATCCATTAAATAGTTGGAAGTTATTTATGATTTTCTTGGTTCTTACTCACTTATTAACATTAAATAACATTGAATTTACTTTAGACCACATGGTCATTTGCTGTGCTAATTTTTTTACAAGTTCATATATGTTGTTAGTTGCTTAACTGTTTATACAAGATCAGCGTATTATGTCCATTTACTTAGTTTCATTCACATGTTTGTTAATAACATTGACTGCTACATATCTTTTTAAGGTAACAATTAACATCGTTTCCATGATTGTGTGGTTCTCATATTGTAATAATTTTTTAGATGAACTGATGATGCTTTCAAAACTCGAAAGCGAAACGTCTTCAAAATAGATAAAGTAGCCTATCAACTTTGTCTTTTATTTCTCCACCTAGAGACCGATATAAGAACCCACCACTCGTCTGAGTGATCCTTATATATATATATATATATATATATATATATATATATATATATATATATATATATATATATATATTATATATATATATATATATATATATATATATATATATATATATATACTTAAATATGTTCTATTAAACACTGTAAAATTTAATGTCTTTCAAATATTTGAGCACTTTATTGAACTGGTAGCTTAGTAGATCCTTCATGTTGGTAGGGAGGTTATTTTTTCTTCTTTCTTGGGTGTATGTTTTGCATTCTAACAAAATATGTTTCACAGTTATTTGGATCTTGCAGTTATGGCAGAAAGGGATGGCTTCTTTATTTATTAAGTGAATATGGGTTGGTGTAGTATGTCCCAATCGTAGTCGAGTTATTATCACTTGTTCACAACGTTTGAGTGGGAGTGGTAAGGTGGTGCCGACAGTTGCTATAACATCTTTTAATTTATTGGATGTGGAATTCCAGTTACACTGCCATAAGTTGGTAATATGTTTTTTAATGGAGGTTTTATGGTCGTTTCTTGTTATCATGTGTGACACAGGGATGCTTTCATCTAGTGCAGCTTCATTCGCAAGTTAATCTACTGCTTCGTTTCCCTTGATTCCCACGTGTGATGGCACCCATACAAAAGTTATTTCTATGTTTTTTGTTGATAGTAGTATGAGTTCATTTTTTATTAGCATTATAATTTCATTTGATGGATACAATTGCTGTAAAGCTTTTAGTGTACTTAATGAGTCAGATATTATAACATAATGAGGTGCGGATTTTCTTCTGCAAACTTTCAGTGCCTCTAAAATACCCATTGCTTCTCCAGTAAATATGCTACTACTCGAAGGGAGTCGTATTTTAAAGTGATCTGATCAATGTATGTAAGCCGCTGCTAGTCCTGATTAAGTTTTTGATGCATCAGTGTAGATACGTTCAGAATTTGGATATAGGGATATTATTTCATGGTACGATTGATGTATTATTGTTGAGTTAGTGGATGTTTTGGGATAGCGAGTAAGGGATGTATTTACAATTGATGGAATAGTTGACCAAGAGGGAAAGTTTTGGGTTGGATTTATGATGGCACTAAACTGCTCATAGTCGTAACCACTGAATTTGATTCTTTCATGAAAAGGGAGTGTATTAATCGGTTTATTTTTGTAATTACTGATACATTTAGGTTTTAAAATATTTGAATGCATGGGATTTTGATGATTTCATGATATACAAGTTGCATAATTTAGTGACAATTGTTGCCTTCGTAAGTGTAAAGGTAGTTCGTTAGCTAATACTTGAAGGCTATTGGTTGGGCTAGTTCTAAATGCGCACAGAGCAATTCTTAGTGACGTTGTTTGAATTGAGTTTAGTTTTTTTAATGTAGTTTTTTTGGCAGTACCATAACATATTGAGCCGTAGTCTAATTTGCTACGTATAAGTGATTGGTATAAGTTTAATGTGGTTCTTGTATCTGTTCTCCACGTACGGTTTGAGAGAATCTTCAGGAGATTAATTCTAGGTTGGCATTGTTTTTGCAAGGTATGTATGTGGCTTTTCCAGTTTAGGGTGCAATCTAAAGTTAACCCCAGACAATTTATTTCATTTGTTTCTTTTAGAGTATGTCCATTTAAAGTTAGATTAACGTTCTTTATATTTTTCCGTTTGCTAAATATTATGTACTGTGTTTTTTTCAGGACAAAAGTTAAAACCAGTTAAGTGACCATTTTTCCAGCGTATGTAAAGACATCTGTATTACTTCAGCCGCACATTCCACACTTCTGCTTTTATGGTAGATAATCAAGTCGTCTGCGCATAAATTGGCTTTAATCGGTAATCTCATTTCGTCCAAGATGTTATTTATTGCAATCAGAAACAATTTTGGGCTTAAAATGGAGCCTTGCGGAATTCCATTTTTAAGAGAGCGTGGACTAGAGTTTTAACCGTTAGCTCTTACTTCAATGTGCCTATTAGTTAAGAAATTTTGTATAAAAGCTAGTGTGTGACCCTCGATTTCAAATTTTTGTAGTGTTTTTAAGATGTTATATTTCCATGCAGTGTCGAATGCTTTACTAATATCAATAAAGACTAGCTAGTAATTTTTGATTGTGTAGAAATGCTTCATGGATTTCAGACTCAAGCGATACTAAGTTGTCGGTAGTGGATCTGCCTTTACGAAACCCACTTTGATATGGGGATAATAACATTGAGTTTTCTAGGTGCCATACTAGTCTGTTATTTATAATCTTTTCCATTAGTTTACACATACTACATGTCAAGGAGATTGAACGATATGACAAGGGATCGTCTTTAGGTTTGTTGGGTTTAAGAATTGGGATGATAATTGCATAAAGCTAAAGTATGCTTTGCCAAAAAGTTCTCCAAATTTAACTGAGACAAGGCGCAGTTATTATGACGTAACCATTGCTGGATTTCTTCGCTAGAGTATGCCTTGAGCGTTCCCATGAAAGTTTTGACTAGCGGTTGCAGTTTGTATGTTGAATGTGGAGGTAATGAAATTATAAGTTTGTTATTCTCCCTTACCAGATTGATCACATCTAAATTCCGAGTATGGCTGTAGTGTCCATCCAATATAAGAAGTAAAGAAAACTCTTTAGAGGGTTTAACGGTATCTATGAAGTGTTTAAACCACTGTGTAAATAAATTAAACTGCACCTAACCACTAGGATGAAGAGTTGATATCGATCCAAAAGGAGTACCAAAAGAAGTCAAGATTCATCTTATCATTTTAAACAATTATTACAGTGTTTAGTTTTTTAGAATAATATCCTCATTTGTATATTTATAAAATGATAAATTTAGTTTATTAAATACAGTACAATATATTGACCAATATTTTACAATTTTGCAGTTTTATTTCGTTTAATGTTCAAGAAGACGATATCTATCTCAATGAATTAATACAGGTTCCTATGCCCTAAGCCTCAAATCTTAATTATGGGCGCCTTAGAAATAGCGCCTTATCATATTTTAAGGGTGAATTTCAGGGTAAAGCAATGTCAATAACTGAAAATAAATACAAACATTACATAGCTACATATTTAGTCAACATGAGTGCAGAAGTCGGTTAACTTAGATACTGTAGTTCCTGAGAAAAAAAAATGAAAAGTTCACATAAAATTTTGTTTTTACTCTCCTGAAAAGTTTGCGATTTCGGGGTTATGGCACTAACGAAGTCTTGAACGATATAGCCTATATGAAAGAAATGGCATTGGATGAGAAATAGAATATTTTTAAAGATATATCTTATAACCCCGCAGTAGAATGCGTGACTTCATAAAATATAAGAACAATCAGAAAAAAAATGATACAGCAAAGAAATTCAGAAAGAAAAGAGAAAAAATGCTGGGAAAAATATAACAACACAAAAAGCCATTATAATAAATAACAGTAGGTAAATATCTAGTAGAAAAGCTGGAAAGGATTAAAAAATGAAATAAACGAAAAATACATAACCAATATTAGACAGTTTTTCTCCTTTTTCCGACAGTCTCAATATTTATATCTTCAGGTTGCATGTTCCTTATAAAACTTTTTATGATAAAATTCAATAATTTTTAAGTAAATTCCTTCATCAATACGACCATGAACATCTTTTAAAGAAGGTTAATATTATTTTGAATTATTGATATACATTTTTATTTGTTTTAATTATTGAAACGTAATATTATATAAACAAAAAATGCTGCGATGGCAAATATGTTAGTTAATTGCTTTGATTGTTCTAAAAATTCAAGGTATTAGTTATGTATATGTGGTCCTTTAGTCGTAATAGTTTTGATCTGCTAAGCCATAACAGAATTTAAGTCAATATGGTAAGTTATAAAAGACATATTATATTTTCCAATATATAAATATATTGCTCATCTCAAGTAGTTTAGTACCCTGTTATCCGAAGGATATTGATATATCTGCTGTAATTATTGTGAAAAAGAATGTTTATTGTAATAGCTTGAAGCAACTACATTTATAATTGTATACTTTATAGTTTGTTCTATCATATTGTCTAATTTTTGCAATATTTGTTTCTGTTCAAGTACTTCTTCTTCGTCATATATTAGGCCATGGATCTTTTCTTGTCCTATATTAAGGCTATATAGTGTTGTATTTGTTACGTTGGCTGTCAGGTATCTCGCTGTCTTTTAAATGTGTCTGTTGCTTTCAAATATATTGATATTGTTACACTTCTTTAAAATGACTTTATTCAAACATCCACTTGTTACAATACTTTAACTTTAATTTCAACTGTTGCAAACTGTCAACAACATCCGCTTATATATATATATATTTTCTGACGTTCCAGAATTCACTAGATAATTCAGGATTTTTCGATGGTATCTCGAAAATTCTAAAAAACTTCTTCGTTATTTATTCTTTTTCGTCAAGGTACTTTTTCTATATGAAATTAATCAGGTACTTTTTCTATATGAAATTAATCTCGCGGAACTGTCGTAAAACTGCTCCCTTCTTTATAGTTCATCATCATCATCAGCCATTTTGCGTCCACTGCTGAACATAGGTCTCCCGTAAATAATTCCATTGCATCCAATCTTGAGCAACTTGAATCCAGTTAGACTGGATGCGCTTTAAATCGTCCGACCACCTTGTTGGAGGACGTCCTCGACTACGATAAGCATCGTGTCTAGGCCTCCACTCTAAAATTTTCTTTGTCCATCTTCCATCTCTGACCCTAGCAACATGTCCTGCCCAGTTCCATTTCAGGGTTGTAATTCTTTCAACTGCGTCCGTCACACCAGTTTTTCTCCTTACTCTCTGACTCGAAACTCTGTCCCTGAGTGATACGCCCAACATTGACCTCTCCATCGCTCTCTGTGCCACTTGTATCTTATTAATTACTTTTCTGGTAAGCGTCAATGTTTCTGCTCCATTTGTCAGAACTGGAAGTACACACTGATCAAAAACTTTTCTCTTCAAGCACATGGGAATAGCTGATTTAAAGATATTCTTTATAGTTATTCGCCTCGAATAACTGGTCTTTCAGGGACCGATTGAAGCCAACAGGGTGGATCAGTTCCATGGTATAGAGCTAATCTCTCGATATGAACTACTTTGGGTTTACTTCTAGCCGAAAACTGGATGCAGTAGATTACACGGTGTACGGGCCTTCCCAGCTTCGTTGAAATGTCGGACAAAGTCCCTTCTTACGTGTGGGATTGGATCACCTCTTTCGAATGTTGTACCTGTAACATGCATGTCGAGCCTGGCCTTGGCGTTATAATTTGAAACTTCAGATTTTTACGAGAAAATTCAGTGACTTTTTCCATATTTTCTTTCAAATTTTCGATGTACCGGGTTTCTCATTATATTTTGAGCCCCACTATTTTCCTTAATTTCGGGAATACAAAAGAAAGTTTCAAATAAAAGTTGTATTATTTTATCTGTACCGACCAACAATGTAGCAACAGACCAAATTTTGTATACAGGAGTCCCAATAAAATGCATCTTCAATATTTCAAATAGGACACCCTATATTTTTTTATAGTTTTGAGTAGCCCTGCATTTTCTGATTACCAATATTATAACATTGTGTAGCATTAGTTTTGTTCTATAATGGCATACGGTATTACAAAAGGGTAACCATAGGTGGCTATGCAACTGACATTTCAAAATGAAACAATTATTAATTTATTATAAATTGTCAGTCCTCATACCTAGATGGGTTATACTGCAGATAAAAAGTAGATATATTCTTAATTTATGTAAAAAATAATAAAAACAAGCAAGCGGCAAGAAGAGAATATAGGTTGTCTTATCCAGATCGACAGACTCCTTCTGCAAATACATTTTTACAATAATTATCGTCATGTGATAAATGAAAAAAATGTTTGAACAGAAGAAACGTACTATCGTAGGAAATGACACTGAAGATCTTAATACTTTGCTTTACTTTGAAGGTAAAAATTAAATACTTAAATAATAGATTAAATCCATAATAATATTTTTATTTTAGAAAATTACGAAACAAGTCTAAACAATGCTACTAATGCATTAGAGAAAAGCCGTGCCACGATACATAGAGTTTTAAAAAAGCCGTACAAAATATTACCGGTACAAGAACTTACCGATGTCCATAAGAGAAAGCGTATAAAGTTCTGTCAAGACATGCATACAAATTTGAAAAATGATCCTAATTATTTTTATAACATTTTATGAATAGATGAATAAAATTTTTCAACTTCGGGCATTTTTAATAGAAGAAATAGGTATTCGTTCGAACAGAAAAATAATAGAAAAAGAAAAATTAAGCAAATAAAAAAGTCAGGAAGAAAATCAATAAATGTGTGGTGCGGAATATTTCAAAACAAATAGTTGGACCATTGTTTTATGATTATAAATTAACTGGGGAATCATATTTGGTTACAGTCATTACAGAAGTGGATGAGTTATTAAATCAAAATTATACACAAAATCAATTAAATAATATTGTAGCCGTTCAAGAACATTTGAATCATCAATTTAATGTGTGGATCGGCAATAAGGGTACCATTACATGGCCTCCAAATAGTCCCGACTTAACACCATGTGATAGCTTTTTACGGGGGTTTTTAAAAGAAAAAGTGTATTTTGTTTCAAATACAAATATTAACAGTATCACGGCAAAAGTTCGCGTCGAAATTGAAAATTTAAATGGTCATAATAACACAATATCTGACGCATTAGAAAATTTGAGAGGAAGCTATTACTTGTGCATTGATAACAATGGAGGGCACTTGAGTATCTATTGTAATCTTAAATGTAGTATTGTAAGTCATAAATGTTGTTGACTTTCCAAATAATTTTGTTTTCTTATCTTAGTATAGTATAGTACTACCTTACGCCATTATAGAACATAACTAATGCTACATTATGTTATATATTTGTAATCAGGAAATGCAGGGCTATTCAAAACTATAAAAAAATACAGGGTGTCCTATTTGAAATATTGAAGATGCATTTTATTGGGCGCTCCCTGTATACAAAATTTGGTCTGTTACTACATTGTTAGTCGGTACAGATAAAATAATACAACTTTTATTTGAAACTTTTTTTTGTATTTCCGAAATTAAGGAAAATAAGTGGGAGTCAAAATATAATGAGAAACCCTGTACATCGGGGGTGAAAGTTCTTCTTCGCAGAAAGGCAATATGTCGAAAATAAGATCTTGAGGAAGCTTCATTTCTCTTTCGGTGATCACCATTAATAGAGAATAACCGGTTGACTCAAGTTCGGAACTTCTATAGGCTAACAGGAATGGAGGAATATTAGAATAACAGTTAATATTTTTCGACCATTTGATCTGATTGTGATTTGAGAGGCGTAGTGCGAGTTTCCTTATTACCCAAGATTATCATTAATTCTGTTTAAAAATTTCGTCTTTGACTAGAAAAAAACTCCATGTCTTGATATGACGTATGGTATAAATGCTTCTGCTACTGTAGTGAGTTCTTGATTAGGAAGAAGTGCAATTTCAGGCCTTTTTGAAAAATAATCCGTTGGAACGGTTAAGGGTTTATTTTCAATATTTTAAGCATATTTTTAAGAAAAAATTGTTTAATATAACTTTATTTATAAAATTATTACAATATAGTACAAAATTTCAAGAATATTATCTTAAATTTTGGTACAAAAATATTTAAAATTAAGAAAACGACAGCTAATTTTGCTAGATGGAAAAATCGTAACGTCGAGATATTGTTCATTTTATCGTATTTTAAAAATTTGTAAAGTAAAAAAGCCGAATTTTTTTCATTTTTGAAAATTTTTTGTCAAAATTTAAATAATTTGATGTTGTAAAATTAATAATAACAACAAAATTAACAATGTTTTAACGTTGCGACCTAGTAATTTATAAAAGAAGTGAGCAAAATTTGGGAAGGATCGATTGAGTAGTTTTTGAGATACAGTAAACACCGACGTTAAAAAAAATTATTGCAAGGACAACGCGTTTAAACGAAGCTTATTTTTTATACTCACACAGTATCATCTATTCAGGCCCATATAGTGACGTGTTTCGACAAACTCTGCCTTTTGTATTACATTTGCAGCCATTTTATCCGCTCTAGTAATTCAATTGTTGTAACTTGACACTATATTTATTCCAATTTCTATGTGAGTGCTCAACCATCTCACTCACCTCACTCTTCTCACTCACTTGTCTCACTCAGTCACTCACTCACCTCACTTACTCACACACTCACCTCAATCACTCACCTCAGTCACTCACGTCACTCACTCACCTCATTCACTCACCTAACTCACTCAACTCAATCACTTCACTTACTCAATAATCTCACTCAACCCATTCACTCCTAAATGCCTAAACCTTTATCAATTTTGTTCCGATCACTCTAAAATTTTAACTAGATATTCTTGAAGAGTTATACTATAGAAAAGAAAAATAAAAAAACGCAATTAAATACCCTACCTCCCTAGGGTTTGTTTGTTTCCTCACTCTATCGTCGTAAGTGACCGAGAATATCCACTGCAACTCGTTCAAAAGGCTCACCGGAAAGATATTGTGTTGTTTTACCACGACTTTTTATTGTAGGGCCTTTTCTACAATTTCATAAATCTCATTTCTTCAGGTGTTCTTTTAACTATAAAATGTATTCCCGAAAGTTTGCTATGAAGTTCTTGTAAGAAACTTTTAAGGTGTGATTTTGGCAGTACCACTTATTAAACTGTAACGTACTTCATCAGGACTCTCCCACTTCCAATATTATAGACCATTGGAAAGATACAGGGCATCTGCTTATTTCCTGCCAAGTAGGTCTTATCCATTTTTGAGTGATTTTCGTATAACTCTTATGTCATTATCTTTCTTCTAACTATTTTTGAGATATTCCAGGGAAGTCATCTTTATCTTCTTGTTTAATTGTAGTCCCCCAAAGACTTACTTCTTCGATTACATTCTCTTTTCTTCAATCTGATACTGACTTTGAACCTGTTCTGTTATTCTATTTCATGTTTACTAATCGTTAGTTGTTTCCTCAGATGTGCAACTTTAGATTCGAGAGTATCCTTTTGACCTATGTGGTCAATTGTAGGAAATCGATTTCTTAGAAACCTATCTCTACTCGTATTTCTAGTAGGGCTATGTGACGGGCTTCTGGATGTAGAACTAGGCGATCTTTTGACCTCGTTCTTTGGTTCTTCTTTCCTTGCCTGAGATCGGCTTCTGCAATTATTTTGCAAATGTCCTATTCCTCCTCAATTAAAACACATTCTGTTTTTAGTTTGAGATTTTTGTAAAGATTTTGCAACATGCCTTAATTCTGAGATAAAATAAGTTATTGATTGTCTGTGATAGTGACTTCCTCATTTCTCGAAATCTTATTCCTTTTAATTTTGGGCAAGATCTGGAAATACTTTTCGTCGCTTCATACTTCTGGGCTGAGATTAGTGCTCCATTTAGCGTTTGGTGATGCTGTAGTTGAAGAGCTTGTTGCCTTTCAACATCCTGTAGTCCATCTATCAATGCATGTATGCCAATTTATGCCAGAAAACTAGGTTCCTGGGGGTATGCCAGATGCAATGATCTTCTTATATCGTCTTCATATTCTTCCAGGTTTTCGTTATGCTTTTGATATTGAACTTTAAGCTAACTTTGGAAAACCTGCTTTAGATGCTGCTGGCCATACCTTGTCTCTAAATCTGGAACGAGAGAGGTATACCCTAGTAAGTGCATCCTGGAATAGAAATTACAAGACGGTTGATGCCTGTCCTTAAAGAAATACTACAAAGGAAGCTGCCATTTCTTTCTTAGTCCAGCCATTTTGTCTAGCTGCAACTTGGAAATGAAAACGATAAGTCTCCCATATTGTTTGCCCATCGAGGTGGGTGAGGTGTGGGTGGTTTTAAATTTTTGACAGTTTTAATTGTATCTGGTTTAATTATGGAAGATGATATAGCTGTTTGTTCAGATTCAACGTTAGTTAATGAAACAATATTGGATTAAGAAGCCTGAATATTACTTTTTCTTTCTAATGGAACTATTTGTCTTTCTAAATTAGACTTTAAATAATTTTTCTGTTCTATTTTATAGTTTTTATCTATTCTACTAGTAATTTGAGTTAGCTCCAAGTAAAAAGTCTTGAGTTCTCTTGTCCACGCTTCTCTTTGAACTCTTCCTTTTCTTGTCTACGGTTCTTCTCCACTTCTCTGCGCTTCTCCTTTTCCTTTTTCTATTCTTGCCTACGTTCTTCTTCCTCTTCTTGTTTATGCTTTTCTTTTTTCTCTTCCTCTGCTTGTCTAAGCTTCTTTATTTTTTCTCTTCCTCTCCTTGTCTACGCTTCTCTTTTTTCCTTTCTCTTCTTGTCTACCTTTCCCCGTTTTCTTCTTGCATTTTTAAAAACCATGAGTGAGTTTAGTTTTATCGGTTGTTTTATTAAATTCAGTAGTTCTTCTATTTAGTATTAAAAATTATCTACTTAATATATCTTCAATCCCACCGCTATCACCAATGTTACACTTCTTTAAAATCAATTTTATTTAAACACCAACTTGTTCACAAAACTTTAACAGAATGACAACTATTAACTTTTAAAACTCAATTACAACTGTTGTTAACTGTCAAAATGTAAACTGTCAACAACATCTGTTTATATATATTTTCTGACGTTCCAGACTCCACTAGGTATTTCAGTGACAGTCAGTTTTCTATAACATCTCGAACATTCTAGACTTTTTCATTAATTCTTCTTTTTCATCAAGTAACTTTTTCTATGTGAAATAAATATGAAACTGTCGTAACAATATTCAGGCTAGTATCTCACTATCTAATACAAATACTCCTTCTGTTTCTGCTGTATCTCTGTATCGCAAGTTCAGTATTCATCTTACACATGATTTACGCAGGGTGAGTCATGACGAACTGTACATACTTCTGGCTTCCATAGAGCTCATTGTACCTAGTACATTAGTACAAGTTACTTTTAATTTTTGTTGTATGTCTGTCGCCATTTCCTGCTTTTGATTCGCATACTGCTAAAGACAAGCTTTCATAGAAATGATGATACCTTAATAAACGTTTGCTATATCATCACAAATATCATTCTACATTTATTTATTGAAATATCCTTTACAGATTCTAATAAAAATATTGTACCTATGGACAAATATACTACAAATCACCGTTTCTTTATCACCAGCAACACTATTTGCATGCATGCAATTGCAAGGAATTCAAGCAAAAGCTGTGACATCCGCTTTAAACTGGAAGCTAAAAAACAAATTCAATTCAGCTTTGGGAAAACCTACCTACCATAACATTTTTACCGATAAAAATTATTTTGGAAAACGGTTCGTTAGAGATGTTGGGTAAGTCATATAAAGTCATTATTAAGTATGTTAAATTTTTATTTTTGGATAATTCGAATAATTGGTGTTGATATCATCGTCATCTAAACAATCTTTTGAAGTACTTGACTGAGGTTCTAGAGTGTTATCTCTGCTCGGTATTTTCGAAATGTTAGTAGGTTTCTAGTCCAGTTGGTCATTTGTTTTTGTAATTAATTACATTACATTACATTAATTAAAATTTTTGTTAGTAACTCAAAGAATTTGCCTACTTCTGACCTATTTATTCCTTGAGCTCTTGCTAATGACAACCCCTCTGGTTGTCGTAGGGAAAGATCTGGGTTTCTTTCCATAAAACTTTTAAATTATTGTTTTTCAGCTTTTCAAGCCTGTGCAAGCAAAGTATGCTTTATATTAAGCTTTTTAGCAAAATTAAAAGCCAAAGTGCGGACAGCATTACGATCAGATACAAATCCAGCTGTACAAAGACATTTAATGTAATTGGCAAGTCTCCTCTTATTGTCCTTTCCGAGAATACCTGAAACAATCTAAAACATTATTTTTATTACATTTAAGTAGGTACTAAGCTTGTTTTAATAATTTAAACAAAAAACACAATTTACCTTTTGGACCTAGAGCTATTTTACTATGCTTTCCAGATTGTATATTTCTATCAATCGTACGATTCTGTGCTGGTACTCCATTTATCTTCTTTCTGCTTCTCGTTTTGATATTTCACTAACCTGAATCTTATTTATTGCTAGACTTAATTGTTCTTTAGTATAATTGCCGCTGGGTTTAGTGGTTTAGTGGCTTTCGAATTTACTTCCTCGGCATTGTAAATTTACCTGAACAAAATAAAAAAAATTTACTTTTTTAAATTAAAAGTTTCTTGTCAAATATAACCATTATTTGTAAAGTAATAGTCAAAAGTTTTAAATATACTTGCTCAAATCAACAATAATACAGAGAAACTAAATTCAACCCATATTTTTCTGAATTAAATAAGATTACCAACCGTCTAAAACCATTATGTAAAACTTAGGGCTACAAAATTATATCTTACAGATTTTATTTTAACACCAGCAGTTTATTCACTTTCGAAAACTGTCAATCTGTACTTCAATCAGTAATAGACTAACGGAACGGACTATGTGACTCTGTACATTGTTATTCGAGATATACCTACCACGTGACCTGCGGCATCTCTACCCAGGCGGCATCTCTTCATACTTTACCTTATAAATTTAAAGTTTTTCCTGTTTTTTAGCCAAAGTAATATTGACGTAATACCAGCTGATAATACAAATTTTGATAGAATGACTTCCAGGTTTCTGTCTGATGACACAGACCATCATCTAAACCAAGACAGAATTGAAGAACAAAATAGTTTTGACGAGGAAGATGGTTCCTCAAGAAGTGCAGAAATGGATTCTTATGAAATGGGATATTACGGAGATGAGTATCCACTGTAAGTCTGCGGTACATTTTTGCTATTTTAATTAATTTTACTACTATAAATAGCCAAATATTTTATTTTGTTACATTTGGAATAAAATAAACAGAATATTTTTAAAATATGATCTTTCTGCCTTACTCATATTATGTATTTTTATTCTTTCTCATTTCAGGGTATAGCTTTATTTTTTGTTTCGTTTTGTAATTTAGTAATTCTTTAGTTAATTGATTTTCATTTATTATCTTTCTATGCTCTTTTATCTTCTTATACATTCCTCATTGATCGAGTAGATATGTAGTTCTTAAAATACACTCAGGTGAAAAAAAAATCGCTGCATTCAATGCCGTCTTCAATGAAGGTTGGCGATAACCTGAGCAAAATCATTTCTGTCCCTGGCTTTTCTTATTAAAGATTGAAAATCCAAACCAGTCCACTCACGAATGTTCTTCAACCAGGACGCCTGCCGTCTACCAGGACCACGTTTTCCTTCTACCTTCCCCTCTATAAGAAGCTGCAGTAACTGGTATTTCTCATTTCGTTTCATTATTTTTAAGAGTTCGCTGTCGGTACCCATCTTGTGTAGGACCTGCTCGTTGCTCATATGCGCTGTCCAGGGGACTTTCAGCATCCTTCGAAATAACTACATTTCAAAACTTTCCAAACGTCTTAGTGAGTTGATTTTGAAGGTCCAGGTCTCCATTCCATATAGTAAGGTGCTGTAAACGTAACATTTCAGCATTCGGTATCGGATTTTGAGATTGAATGTTTGGGACGTAAACATTTGTTTCATTTTTAAAAAGACATTTCTTGCTTGTTCAATTCGCGATTTTATTTCTATGTCTGCATCTATATCTTTCGTTATCCAGCACCCTAGATATCGAAATTTCTCGACATTTTCGATAATGTTACCATTCACGTTTAAAGCCATGGGTGGATGGATGGATGTTTTGGAGACAATCATTGTTTTTGTTTTCTTGACGTTAATGCTGAGGCCGTATTGTTCTCCGATCGATCTGACGCGATCTAAGAGTGTCTGGAGATCCTGTGCGCTCTCTGCAATTAGGACCGTGTCGTCGGCGTATCGTACATTATTTAGAACTCTGCCGTTTATTTTAACACCTTCTCTTGATTGCTCTAGTGCTCGTGCAAAGATTTCTTCCGAATATATATTGAAAAGTAGTAGTGACAATACACACCCCTGTCGTACACCTCGCTTGATATTGAATATTTCTGTGTCACCGGCTTCTGTTCTAACTGCTGCAGTTTGGTTAAAATACAGCGTTTGGATAATTTTAAAATCGTTCTCGTCTAGTCTACATATAAATAGTAAATAAAATTTATGCGAAAAAAATATTTATTTTTAAAAATATACGGCATTGTTCGAAAATTGAAAAAATTGAAGAGTAGTTGCGTTGTTGAAAGAAAAAACGGTTATAACAAAATAAGGTTTATGCTTTTTTTATTAATACCTATTATTTCCTCCTTATGGTAATTAAATTTTGAATATAGAGCTGGTCCAATTCGTCCAATATTGTCTGAAGAGCCGCACTAAGCTAGGGCAAGTTGTTTGTGCGGTGTAGCCGAACTTGAATTCATCTTCCCAATGTCTCCCATAGATGTTTGATTGGATTAAGGTCAGGGCTGGAAGCTGGTCAATTCATACGGATAATGTCGACGTATTGATTGGAAATTCTAACACGGTGCGGACGCGCGTTATCGTCCATAAAAATCTAATTGGGTCCTGATAGGAATGAACTTATACCAGCCGAAACCATAACTGAGCCTCATCGATAGGTTATTCTATCGGCAATATTGCACTTGACAAATCATTCTCCTTGTCTTTACTAGATTCTTTCACGACCCTCTGTTGGTCTCAAGCAAAACCTGGACTCATCCCAGAACACAGCATTACTCTAATCTACGTAATTGCAATCTTGGTGTTCACTTGCAAAAACAAATCGAGCTCTGCGATGTTCCACATATAGTTGTGGACATACAACTGATCTGAAGTCATCTACGAACTGTTCATTTGCTTATATCCACGTTTCGGACTTCATTCGGAGGATTTGCCAGCTCAATTGATTGCTTATACACAAAGACATCTAAAATCGATCGTCGCGTTTGAATGTTGCTCTTCTACGGCCTGATCCTGACCTTCTAGTGTAGTTGGCGTGTTGATTGAATCGCTGAATGGCTTTTCGAACAGCACAATGACTTACACCTAGCATTTGAGCGGCATATACTATACGGCCATCTTGCAATAAAGTCACGGCTCTTGCAGCATAGGTGGTGTTAAATTCATTTAAGTACAATTAAAAATTCTGAACTCATGAACTCTCTTTTATGCCAAATTTCGTAGTAGTGGCTTTGTGATGTGAAAGCTTTGGCCAAATTTATTTTCACAAGTCGAATGTCTCTCTTAATTTGTTCCACTTGCACGATGCTGGGATTATGTCGGATGGATTAGGCGCGTCTACTAACTTACTGGGTATGTCTAGTTCGTGGCCGAAATTTAAATAAGCTAGAGAGAATCCGGTAGAGTCGTGCTTTGCGGAGTTAATAGCAAAAGTCAGTTCTGGTATGTACGTGTCCCATATTGGGCTTTCATTGTCTTGATTACTCTGTTTGTTCTTTCGACTGGGTTGTTATGTGGCGAATATGGCGGTATCTCGTATTTTTCGATGTTAAATTCTTTTAATAAACTTCTGAATTCTCTGTTTTCGTACGAAGTTGCATTATCTGAGATGAGTTTGGTCGGACATCCGAATTTCATTATTATTTTATCTGGGAATCTTTGTGGGTTGTTTTTCACCTCCTCTATTTTCTTTTTGTATCCATCATTTTGTAGTTCTCCAAGTGTAACAGTACTAATTGCGTCTACTGGTTCTCGGGAGAGTGCGTCAGCTAAATGATTCTGCGTTCCTTTGCGGTAGATGAGGTCGTAATCAAACTGTTGTAAAGCCATGGCCCATCTGGCCAATCTTCCTGGCGGATTTTCTATTGATTGTAGGTATTTTAAACTCTGGTGATCAGTTAGGACTGAAAACTGATAGCCTTCCAAGTATGGAGGCATTTTCTCTATTCCATATACGATGGCTAGTAGTTCTTTTTCTGTTACACTGTAGTTTTTCTCCGCATTTGATAAAGATCTGCTGGTGTAAGCTATGACTCGATCGTGTCGTTGTTCGTCTTTTTGAATCAGAGCTACTCCGAGACCGTAGTCTGATGCATCTGTTTGGAGAAGAAATCTCTTGGTGAAATCTGGACAAATCAGTACGAGAGCCTGTGTAAGTAATTTTTTTATTTTCTCGAAAGCAATCGATTGTTCTGCGCCCCAATTCCACTTATGTTTCTTTGTTAATAATTGTGTTAGTGGTGCTATGATCGTAGAATAATCATGAATAAAACGCTTTTACCAAGATGTGGTTCCCAGGAATTTCCTTAGTTGTTTGATAGATTTTGGAGCTGGGTATTGGATGATGACTTTAACCTTGTTTTCGTCGGTTTTGATTACTTTTCTATTGACTACGTGGCCGAGGTATACGATTTCGTCTTTGCAGAACTCGCATTTTTCTAAATTGATTCTTAGCTTTGCGTTTTGTAACCTTTTGAAGACTTGTTTTAAATTGTGCAAGTGTTCTTCGAATGTTTCTCCTAAAACTATGATGTCGTCTAGGTAAGCGAATGCATACAGTTTCATTTCTGGTCCTATAACTGAATCTAATAGGCGTTGGAATGTAGCTGAAGCTGCGTGTAGTCCAAAAGGAAGGCTCTGAATTGAAATCAACCTTTCCCCGGAGCTATGTGATTGCCTTTAATTTGTCTAGTATGTGATTGATATATGAAAGTGGATATTCGTCTTTCTCGGTCTGCAAAATCGATAACTATAAATCTATGCAAAATCGATAACTGTCGTTTTTCTTCTTTACTAATACAATAGGTGAGCTATAGGAGCTGTTCGATTCTTCTATTATTCCTTCTTTCAACATGGTAACAATTTCGTCGTTTATGATCTTTTGCATGGCTGGGTTTCTTGGTCTGTTCTTTGTTTTATTGGCGTGTTGTGTGTCACTTTAATAGTGTGTTTGATTAACGGGGTTACCTCCTTTAATTTGTCAAATTTGGCTACTTCGTTTTGTAAGAAAAGCTCCAATTTGTTTTGCTGTGCTTTTGTTAAAGTGGGCTTAATATTGAATTGAGTTTTCATGATGCCATCGTTGTGAATATTTTCTGTGAAGTTATTGGTCACTTGTTCCTTTGTTGCGGAGTCCAACTCATTGGCTTGTATTGGAAATTCGGCGTTATTGACTGTACTGTTGTTGATATCGTAGGGAAAGTTTGCTGAAAAATCGATACAGAGTCTGCATTTTTACATGTCATTGATGCCCAGTATCGCTTCTAAGGAAAGATGTGGCATGTAGTAAAACTTAATTTGTCGCCACGCATTGTTGATTAGGCATATGGTGTGATAGCTGTGTCTTATGTCTTGCGTGCTACCGTCTGCAAGCCTAATATCCGTTATATTCTCTTCTTCTTCGGTTAAGTTATCTTCTAATAGTATTTTCCGAACTGCTTCTCCTATAAATGATTTCTGTGATCCGGTATCTAATAGCGCTTGGAACGTTTCTCCGATTGGAAAGGATATTGAGCAATGTGGTCTGTTGTCAATATTGGTTGTCTGGTTACGGTTGGATGTGACAGAGGACCTTAATTTTGGTTTGGGTTCGAGAGACCTCTAAGTGTCTCGACCCTTTTGTCGTTTCCCGTGTTGGAGCACCTACAATATCTGTGTGATATATTTAACGTCCCGCATCTATTGCAGAAGAGTATCGGCGTTGAACGGCATTTATAACGGTTATAGTCTCTCTTTCCACAATTCCAACAACACGTCCGCCTATCGAAATTTATGATTTTGTTTGGTGTGTTATGGTATGTTGTATTAAATCGGGAGTTGTTCTTTTGTGGCGTGTTATCTACCTCTATTTTCTGGATGCAATTTTGGATTATTTCGTACACTTCAGTCTGGCGCATTAAGTCTTTAACGGACGTGATATCGTTTTCCTTGATATATAATTAGTAGTGGGGAGCATGTTTTTGTAAATTCTTTTTAGTTCTTCTATTTTGTTCATTTTGCCGTATCTTCTGATTAGAGTTTGAAGGTCTAATAGAAAATCTTTAAAAAGTTCATTTAATTTCTGAGTTCTTGTTCTGATTTGATCTTCTAATTCATCTTGCCAATTTGCTGATTGAAATGCAAGGATAGTGTCTACCGTAAAATCGTTCCAATTTGCCTAGAAGTTGATGTTGTTTCGGAACCATAATATTGCTTTTCCCCTGAATACTTTTGGTAGCGCCTTTAATAAAGCATCGTCTTGAATTTAGTAACAGATTTTGAGTTCGTATAGTTTTTCTAAAAATTCTGTGGGATTATTGGATCCGTCAAAATATAATCCCCATTTTCTAACTGTGTCCGTTATTTCGCTATGATTTTTATTTTCAGGTTGTGTATCATCCATTTCTGGAACTTCCGGTCTACCCCTTGTATTTGTGTCGGTATTTTTCGAGCGTAAGTGAATGACTGTTCTTGACCGCAGTTCATCCAATTTCCGTATTATGTCTAAATTAAATTTAGCCATAACATTTTGTAATTCCTCTTTCTTTAATTTATATACCCATCCTACCGCTTCGTCCATTATTTCTAACCCTACCGTATCTTCCAAGTCCGACATCATTTATATATTTGTTTAAGTCGTATAAATGCCTTAATTATTATTATTTATTTAAAAAAAATGCTGCTCGGGCGCCATTTGTGAAGTCGGGTAGTGTAATTCAGTCAGAGAAACAGGATTCGTTCGTATAGGCATTTATTTCGAATTAACATATACAAATGAAAAAGTAATTATCGTTAAGTGTCTACTAAATATAATGCTTGAATACAAAAACGTACTATTTGTTTATTTCGGTGGATGGGTGTGACGATATTCGATATGGTAAACTAAGATACGGCGATCGAGGAATTGCGGTCTTACTCGTTCCTCAACGCCGAACAAGTACTTGGACAATGATAAGGATGTTTATCTAGTTCAACGCACCAGATAGAAAGAATACGCCAATCTCGTTCAACGCACCAGATTAACGCAGCCAGAGGAAGGAATGTCAATCAGTCAATCTCTCTCAACGCGCCAGATCAACTGGGTTCGGAAGGATTTGGGACACGTTCAACTCACCTGTCCCCAAGGTCAGATATTCTCAACTCAACGCGTCGAGAATCCTTAGCTGTCTTTCAGTTTCGACTTTTATACTATTCGAGACGGAACAAAAACATGTTTTATATAACACATAGGCGTACTCTAGTCAATAAAATATATCATCGTCACAACGTTGGTGCTAGTGACTTAGCCATCGCATAGCAGCTGGACGAGAGATCTTCTTATTTTTCTCGTTGGTTTCTCTGGTTACTCATACCCACGACGGACTTAAGTGTAGCAAAACACCTTTTTATCTTAAAAATTCCATGTTTAGTTCTTTTACTTCTGTTGCTTATCTATCATCAATATTATTGTTTATTTTTATACAGTGTATATAACTTTATTGGATTATATTTTCAGACCTTACAACGGTGTATCTGGATCAAATATGTACCATCAAAACCACAGAGTTCCTTGCAACGCATATCTTCCAGAAGTTTACGATAGGGGTCCAAAAGAAAAACCAAAACAAAACCCGCACTTATTGCATCATCATATAGAAAGCCACATTCCTGGTTTTAAAGGACTATTTCCCCATCAATTTTTACCGAGAGCGTCAGATATCGATGAGGAATCGGACAATTTTAATCAACATCTAGTGTTTGAGCCAATAGATGGAGCCCATGAGGCTCACAATCCTAGTACGGATGGTAACGATGAGAGGGTAAGCAAAATAATGTGTTATAAACTGAAAGTTGATTATGACGTTCATTTTTTGTTGGCTGACTTGCATGGTTTAAGTATTTCCAGTCTTTTATAAAGATTATTATAATATGCCTTTTTATTTTGCATTCTGCTTTTTTTACTTTTACACAATTTATTTTGCATAGCAAAATATTTACTACATGTTACGCAAAATAGATGAAGAATATACTAAGTGGGGCTTATCAATTAATCCATCAAAAACAGAGTACGTAGTAGTGGGAGGTGAAGAAAAGCACTTAGAACTAGGAAGCAAACAAATTCAAAATATTTATAGCTATAAATATCTCGGTGTAAACATTAAAAACAATGGTCGGAATACAAAAGAAATAGCTACTAGAATTGGTCAAGGAAATTCAGCAATACGTCAACTGAATAGTATACTTTGAAATAACCACATCACACGAAACACAAAAATTAGGATATACAAAAGTATCATAGAAAACATTGCTACATATGGTTCAGAGCTTTGAGTAATAAATAAAAATGACGCATTCAAAATAAAAGCAATGGAAATGAATTATTGGAGAAGATGTTGCCAACTCACTAGAAGAGATAGAGTAAGGAATACTGAAATCAGAGAGCATTTGGGCATAGACATTGACATCCTGGAAACTATAGAAGGCTGAAATGGTATGGCCATGTAGAAAGGATGAATGATCAACGATGGCCAAAGGGAATGTTATAGTGCATCCCCACCAACCGCAGGAAAAAGGGAAGACCAAGAAGATCGTGGAGACAAGAAGTAAAAGGTGCAATGAAAGATAGGAGTCTACAAGTAGATGACTGGAACGATCGCAAGCGTAGGAAGCTAGATTGCAAGAAACGGCGGCAGCTGTAATAAACTCGTTATATATATATATATATATATATATATATATATATATATATAATATATATATATATATATATATATATAGAAGGATCACTCAGACGAGTGGTGGGTTCTTATATCGGTCTCTAGGTGGAGAAATAAAAGACAAAGTTGATAGGCTACTTTATCTATTTTGAAGACGTTTCGCTTTCGAGTTTTGAAAGCATCATCAGTTCATCTAAAAAATTTTACAATATGAGAACCACAAACTCGAAAGCGAAACGTCTTCAAAATAGATAAAGTAGCCTATCAACTTTGTCTTTTATTTCTCCACCTAGAGACCGATATAAGAACCCACCACTCGTCTGAGTGATCCTTCTATATATATATATATATATATATATATATATATATATATATATATATATATATATATATATATATATTATTTTGCATTGCTTTGATATTATTTTATTAAAGTTTGGCCTAGGAACAAAAGGTGGAAAAGTGATCGCCTATGCAGATGATATTGTTGTTATTGAAAGGATCAGAAATGCGAGGAAATAGAAGAAAGGAGAAACAATGGGACTCACGTTACTTAAAAAAACACAAAAATATTACGATTAGGGAAAAAAACAATATAAAAAAAATCAAAATATGGAGTTTATAATTTAAAGAGATAGAACACTTCAAATGCCTGAAACTGACAAGGAGCAAAACCAGAGAAAGAATGCTAGAAATAAAAAAATATTGGTACCGAATAGGGCTTATTTTGTAAATAATAGATTATTTAAAAGCAAAATGTGGACTAAGAAAACTAACACGAACATATATTACATAATAATTAGACCAATATTATTATTATACGCTGCAGAATTGATTACAATGACTAAAAAAGATAAAGATGAAAGATCCATATTGAGATCAATCAAAACAGATCAAAACAAATGTAGAAATTAAAAAAGTACTAAATGAAGATATCGTAACCAAAATAAAGCAATGTAGAACTAGACGGCTAGGTCACATCTGGTGATTAGGAGCTGAAGCAGTGGTATACGCAATGATAAAATGGAATTTAGTATGAAGAAAGAAAAAGGAAAAACTAAGATTAAAGTGGGTGCAAAAGTTAAAGCAGACCTACGAAACGGAGGAGTAAGAAAATGACAGAGACAAACTAGAGACCGGAAAAATCCACTAGATTAGATGTTGCACAGCTAAAAGAGCAAGCTGGCTTCAGATTTAGACTCAGTACTCTAGATAATATCCGTACGTTTTGATAACTAATCATTGGAGCTAAAAAATAAATGCCGCTAGCATTAGTCTTTATAGATTTTATTAACGAGCTGGTGGATGTCCAAGATGTATGTATATAGACGAGTATGTATACCTGTGAGAATTAATATACAAATCTGACTCCCTACTTCCAGAAATCAACAGAAGAATGAAACTGCTTGCATTTTTTGGTAAAAATTCAGTTATATTTAAATCCAGAATGCTACTTCACTTAATGAAGAGAGCATTCATTTGATCAGTGAATACTACTAATCATGAAATACAGCGGCGAACCTTGGGCACTAAAAAAGGAGATAATATCGAAACTCAAAGGTGAATAGAGCGATGTTATTCACAGAATTAAATCTTTAAGATGGCAGTGGGCGGTATATTTAACAAAGAAGAACTGACAATAGATACCACAGATACACTGTGGTATCCAAGAGGCGTCAAGCCGGTACAACATGGCACAGAACGGCGAATATGACAAAATCGTGGACAGAAATAAGGGTGTGTATATATATATATATATATATATATATATATATATATATAGATATATATATATCGGAAAAAGGAGTACGACCGTCAAATTCCAATATATAAAAGGATCACTCAACAGAGTGGTGGGCTCTTATATCGGTCAATTTGTAGGTGGAGAAATGAAAGACAAAGTTGATGTGCCACTCTATCTATTTTGAAAACGTTTCGCTTTCGTATTCTGAAAGCATCATCAGTTCATTCTAAAAAGTATAATATAAGAACCACACAATCATGGAAAAGATGTTACAGGTGTTACCTTAAAAAGGTAACTTTGACTGCTACATGTCTTTTTAAGGTAACACCTGTAACATCTTTTCCATGATTGTGTGGTTCTTATATTATACTTTTTAGAATGAACTGATGATGCTTTCAGAATACGAAAGCGAAACGTTTTCAAAATAGATAGAGTGGCACATCAACTTTGTCTTTCATTTCTCCACCTACAAATTGACCGATATAAGAGCCCACCACTCTGTTGAGTGATCCTTTTAGATATATATATATATATATATATAGATATATATATATATATATATATATATATATATATATATATGTATATATATCTATATATATCTGATGGCTTCAACAACTTCTAGACGATAGTAAATATTATCAGCCACTGAACTAAAAAATATCGATGATAAACTAGGCAATTCCCTCCATAAATATAATGGCAATGCTCGCAGGTTCTATTGTCTTCCTAAAATCCATAAGCTACAACTGAGTATGCGTCCTATATTATCGTCAATAAACGTTCCTATCACTAATTTAGCCCAATTCTTAACGGACATTCTTTCACAAGCATACAGCTACAAAAACGATTTTAACATAGTAGACTCTTTCCAGTTCAGTGTATAATTTATCAATAATTATCAGTTACCACAAGAATATGTCTTAGTAAGCTACGACGTAGTATCTGTGTTTATGTCTAATCTCCCACTCTCCAGCGTCGTCACGTAACTCCGGAACCATTGGAATGAAATCCAACCACACAGTCCAGTATCGTGGGAAACATTCTTGGAATTATTAAAACTGACGTTTGACACCAATTATCTAATATTTAATGACAAATACTATTGTCAAATTTTTGGAACTCCCACAGGATCGTCAATTTCCCCATTTTTGTTAATTTCGTACTCGACGACCTTATCAATGAGAGTATATCAGTAAGTTAGATTTCCAGGTTTCCTTTGTAAAGCGTTTTGTCGACGAATGGATTCTAGTAACACCACCTGATAAGATTTTGAGCACCTTATCAGTCTTTAATAGCGTTGATCTTTACCTTCAATTTACATGTGAATTGGAGATTGATAATAGCATACCGTTTTTAGATATACGAATAATACACAGATATTATAACACATCGGGCACTATGTGCTATAGGAAAGAAATGGCGAGCAACCAGTTCATAAATTAACACTCTACACACCCCCTATGAGATACAAACATAACCTTGTACAAGCTCTTAGCTTTAGAGTACACACGTTGACCCATACGAGAGGTAATCAAATCCAAACTCAAATCCATTCTCATTGATAACTCTTACCCCATATCCATCATCAACAGATATCTTTTTTCTAAAAGCTACGCTCGCTCTATTTCGGAAACACCTCCATGGTGCCACTAATGGTGCAATACTAGCCTCCATATTCAACAGCATACACACGACCAATTCCTCGTTAACCTCAGAACCAGCCACAAAATATGCTTCTCTTCCTTATTTTCCACACATTATGAACAAGCTTACTAAGCTATTCAAAAACTTACCTGTCAAAATATCCTTAAAAAATACCAAAACCGTTGGAAAGGTATTCTCTAAGTCTAAAACTCCACTAGGCTCGTTAGAGCACCCAAATATTGTCTATCAGATACCCTGTTTTGAATGCAACTCCTGCTACATGGGCCAGACCAGTCGGCAGTTTTTAGGGCATATAACTTCACATAAAAGTGACATTAGATTTTCCAAACCCTCTTGTGCCCTTGCACAATATGCCATTTCCACCAAACATCACATTAACTTCATAAATATCAAAATACTGGCGAAACAAAATAACCATCAGAAATGCTGCTTTATTGAAATGGGTGAGATCCTCAAGAAACCATCTGCAATAAACAAAAGAACCAACATCGACAATTTGAGCCAGGTTTGCCACTCTCTCATCTTACGGATTAAGTAAGATTAATTAATAATACCAATTATCCCTTTAGTTTGAATGTGGCTTATTCTATTTAAAGTAATATCACAATCACCCCATATTGCCAAGTTTAAAAAAATCAAATATTTCTGCCATACAAATCCACTCGTCCAACTAATTATTCAACGACCCTCGTAGAAGTTAATAATTGTGTCTCAAACCTTCGCAGGGAATGGAATTTGGTTGACATATGGCCCTTAAATTTTCGTTATCGCGTCACGTCGTTTGCAGATATTGCAATAAATAAAGTGCTTTGTTTGTCTTCATTGGAGAAACATCTCTAAATAAAGCCAAATGTCCGGTTGTGTGTTTTTTGTTTTTTTTTTTGTTTAGTTAGTTTAATATAATGATTATAATGTACAGTACTTATATAATATCGAGAATATACTACATATTGAGTTGTAAGTTATGAACTATTAACACCTATATATCTTATAAACTCTTTTTAATCTGTTGTTATTTGAGAGAACTAATAAAGCCTTAGAAATATAAAGCGAAACGTCTTAGATTAAACTAATGAAGTAGTCGACTTCTGTTTTTTTTTATTTGCCAACCTGAATGACCGATTAAACCTCTGAATTCACTAGATATATATATATATATATATATATATATATATATATATATATATATATATATATATATACATATATATAATATATATATATATATATATATAATATATATTTATGTATATATATATATATATATATATATATATATATATATATGTATATATATATATATATATGTATATATATATATATATATATATATATATATATATATATTAAACCTAGAGCTATGAGTAATACTATTACAAAAAAAAATTAATAATAAACTCATCACCACTCTTCCATGTTGAACCGCGTTGATCATCATTGTGCTGAGCTTTCGATATCCTCTCTGATGTCTTCTTCAGGGCTTCCAAGGTCTCAGTCTTTCGAGCCCCCAGATACTACTACACTGACCACCAATCAATTCACCCCCATGGTATTAACCCATCTTCATAGAGGTCACAGAATTGATTTTGAAAACTCCAGAACTATACCCTCCATCCGCTTCTATAAACCAATAATTAACCCAGAAGCCATAGAAATTGAAAAAAGGCCAAATTGTCTCAATAAAAGAGATGACGGCATACGGTTACCTTCGACATATAGACCTCTGCTAAAGAAAATATCGTCCGCTCCATCTGCGAATCAAAATCCCACTATCAGAAATATCAGTGGCAGCAGTGAATTGATTGATGATCAGTGTAGTATTGCCTGGGGCTCGTTAGACTGAAACCTCGGAAGCCCTAAAGAAGACATCAGAGAGGATGTCGAAAGCTCGGAGCAATCATAATCAACGCTGTTCAACCAGGAAGACTGGTGATATTAATATATTAATTTTTGTAATAGTAATAATCTTGGATCTAGGTTTAATTGTACTATCCGCGGAAATCTTTCGGAACATTAATCTAGAACTAAAACAACCACAGATATGTTTTTGAAAGAGAAGCAGTGCAATAAATAATATATTCACTATAAAGGAAATTATCACCAGATAACAAAAGAGAGATGAACAGTTTTATGTGAAAGTTGTTGATACAGAACAGCTTTTCATGGAAGAGCTAGATATAAAAGTTATTATATCTCCTACTTCACTAAACATCTTGTAGTTAATTTGTATTCTATTTTGTAAAAATAAACTAAAATCATCTCTTATCAGAACCTTACTTAATATTTCGATCGTATTCTCGGTCTAAAATATTTAAATGATCAAATCATGAAGGCCCACGCTTAATTAAATTATGAAAATTTAAAAAACTTTTTTTGTAGGTTGGAACTATCCATCTTCTTCCTTTTACACCTTTAAACCCCGACGAATCAGTGCCATACCAAAATCCGAGATTATTTAATCCGCTAAAAGCAGAAAACCGACAAAAAGTAATTCATTTAATTGAACAAGAAGAAGATTTCCTTAAACTGATGCTAGAAAAACTCGATCGTGTTGCTTATAAGTTTGCCGATCCATTCACACCGAAACCACTGCCTGAAAAACCGCCTAAACTATATTCTGACTACCAAGACAGCTACAAGAATTATAAGGTACGTTAAATTTTTTTTTCTGTTAGACAAATACTAAGTTTATTTTTGTTTTATAGCCCACTGAAGATTATTCCCAACAATATTCAAAACCACTACCTGAAAAACTACCAACAAGTAATTATGACTATCAGCATAGCTACAAACAGTACAAGGTGACGTTAAAATGTATTTTTTATAAGAAACATTGTAAATTTGATTATATTTTTTAGATCGATAAGCCCTCTAGTGATTACTCTCAAGACTACCCAGAGCCAGCAGCTGCTGAAAGTAATACTTATTCATATTCTGAAGCTCACCATTACAACTCACTGATAGAAGATATAGTTAAACGTCTGCTAGATTTAGAAAAGCAAAAATTGGACGATATAACCCACAAATTCATCCATCCTCATTTTGTACCGTATAAGGACGTTAAGTACCCAAACAAATTAAATTATAAAGAAGAATTGCTTGATATTAAAGAAGATGGGTTGAAAAGTTTAATCAGTATGGAAAAACGCAAGCTTGAAGATATAACTGACATATTTTTGGCACCATTTACCCAACCAGTACCAGAAAAAGGTTCACCATATCCAGGATACCCAACAGAATATAGATCAAACGATAAAGTACATGATAAAGGTGAAGAGACTAATTTAACCCCAACGGTTAATTCTAACACTCTTCCTGATCAACAAGATGTACTTCCTACAGTTTATCCAATATATGATGAGAAAAAAAACAGAGACAATGTAGATACACAAAACTTACATCCTGCTGGATCTTTACCAACGGATAATCCTGAGACTGAAAAAAATTTAGGGCCATTACTTCCTTCAGCTACAGTGCGACTGTTACCAGTAGAAGATACTTCAAACCCTCATGCACCGGAACAATCTAAAATAGAGCATAACGATAATACTAACCTTCCAGCACCGCAGGTTCCCAATCAAGAACATGTATTCAAATCAGAGCTTGAAAGAGTAGACCAAGGTGCCAAGGATGTGATCAACGAAGCATCTGCTGTATATAATTCCTTAAATCCTGTCAACAATTTGGACCGTTATTCGCAGCTAATTGCTGATGAAATACAAAAACTCACGGAAGTTACTAGGAAAGAATCTGTCTCTGACGACAACCTGAGAGAAACTTATCATGAAGAGAATCATTTGTCTGAAGGAGCACCGTCTGAATTAGATAATTGGTAAGTTATTTAATACAAATCAAAGAAGTAAAAAAAATTGTCATTTTAAACTGTGGGTCAATATCGATACATACAGAATAGAACTGTCCCTAACGATACATCACTAGGAGGTCTGATGCCATTTTAGTAGTTCTTAATAACGCTGTATCATCAGCCTCTATAAATATATATTCGGTCTAAAATAACTTTTTTAATTTCAGGTCATCTTTACCCCAAGATTCTTACACCGAAAACAACCCAGTTCTAGGCCATATTATTACAGTACCCAACAACTACGATTACCACAGAAGAACACGAAACGTAGCTCAAAACTTAACAGCTGACGAATATTTGAATATTTTTTTAAACGAAGGGAAGCAAATGTTAAAACATGTGCAAAAACTTGGCGCAGATAACGAGGATATTTTGTTGTTAAGTTTTTTAGGAAATATTATAATGGAAAATATACAAAAGAGATTGAATGAGAACAGTATCAACAACACTCATAGTAATAACAGCAATGTTAGACGTAAACGAGATATTCCTGTAGAAACGTAAGTTTAATTTTATAATAATATTTTATATTTTTTTATGATATAAATCAGAATTAAGTAGATTTCTAGACAATTCAAATCAAATCAAACATGAAACACCAAAGTGTTTCAAGGAATTTTTCAAATGTACGAAATATGGATCTTTAATATATTTATATAATACATTAAGTTCCCTTTTACCTATAGAGTGTAGGAATAAAATGCGCTGTCATTTTAATTCAAGATCTGTCTATCTTGTGCCATAATCTTTACTTCTCTCCATGTAACTCTTTTTTTGTCAAGTTGTTTCGTTGTTACCTCCTTGATATAACCAGAAATAACTCCATATGAAATTAAAATGGCACTTTTAGAAATAAAAAATAAGAAATCCCCTGGCGATAACGGAGTAGTGTAGAAGCGATCAAACCAGGGGGAGATAAAATTATCTAGGCTTTGGCCAAGCTTTTTACCAAATGCATCTACCAAGATGGAGACATAACAGATTTAAAAAACTACCGTCCTATCAGTTTGCTTTCACACATATGTAAACTTTTCACAAAAATTATAAAAAAAGACTGGGCGCTAAATTAGATTTATATCAGCCTAGAGAACAAGCAGGATTTAGATCGGGCACTAACGACCACTTACTAGTAATAAAAAACTTGATAGAGAAGTCTGCAGAATACAACAAACCATTGGCACTGATATTTGTCGACTACGAGAAAGCATTCGATACCATAAGCCATCAAAAAATGTTAAAAGCATTGGCAGAATACCGAATCGACCTTGCCACAGCTAGCGTAAGACTATCTGAACAAGAAACAAATAAATTCTGTAGGCAAAAAAACAGAGGCAAAAATGGCTGCTGCGATATGGAGTACAGCAAATCCCCATAAAACCAGTGCGGGAAAATACGAGTATCCCTTACCCTCCCCTTCAAAAAAGGGTTGCTGAAAGATCAAATAACTCTAAGGAGCAGACATAGCCATCACAAAAGTATTTAGGATAGCGGTCGCATACAGACACGATCCTGATAGAAGTCAAAATCAACTTCTGCAGTTCAATAAAACATCATTTAACGGAAAGATCATGTGGGTAAACTGTGCTAAGTAATCTCTCTCCCTTTCTCTCTCTCTCTCTTTCTCTCTTTGTCAACCATTTTCCATCAACTCCTGAATGTAGGTCTCTCCTATTTGCTTCATCTTTCCCTATCTTGCGCCAATCTAATCCACTGTTTTCCTGACACTGCACTTATGTCATCTACCCATCTTTTTTGAGGTCTTCCCATGCTTCTGGTTGTCGTCCTTGGTTTCCATTCCAGAATTCTCCGTGTCCACCTGTTGTCATTATATCGGGCTACATGACCTGCCCAGCGCTCTTTTATTTCTGTAATTTCTTCCACAATATCCCTTCGTTCTACATTTTATCTCGGTGTTTCTAATCTTGTCTCTCAGTGATATTCCAAGCATAATTCGTTCCATTGATCTTTGCGTTGTTTCAAATTTTTTAGCAGATTTTTTGGTGTTAGGGTCATAGAAGGTGTTTTTCAAGATATATGCTAGTTTGCCGAAAATGCCTCATGCCAGTTCTGTTCTTCTTTAAATTTTAGCATCTTGATTTGGTTTTCTTAGTTTGATGATATGACCTAGATATACATAGTATTCAACATTTTCTATGGTATGATTTTGTACTGTTATATTTGTCTGGTCTCTGCTCAGTATTTTTGTTTTACTATAGTTAATTTTTAAGATTATCGCTCCTGAAACTGCATTTAATTGTTGTAATATAGCATTTAGTTCTTGGATATTATCGGCTACTAAAACTATGCCATCTGCGAATCTCAAGTGGTTTAAGTATGATCCGTCGATGTTGATACCCTTGTTCCATAC